GCCTCAACAATTCTGTGATTCTGTGAAAGTGGAAGAAAGGGGTGGGCGGAAAGGGTAAAAAGCCAAGGCAGATGGAAGACAACTTCATGGGGCTTTTATAGGTCCTCACTGACTTCAGATACACTCTGTGCATCTCCAGCATGACAAAAGCACTAGTCCCTCCGTTTGAAGAACAGTGCCGTGCAGCCCCATGCATGTAAAGCTTACAAAACAAAACTGTGTGTGAAGCAAAACACCAATTTTTCTAAAGTACCACCTAGTGGAAGGTCTTTGTATCCAGTTACCATTTTTTCAAAGGTAACATATTTTTTGTGAGGCATTCAATTACTTCAGGTTTTTAGTACACTTTTCCAAGGCCCCTGTCAAATTAATATCTTAACTTCTCATGGAACTAAGTATGTGCAGTTATTCTACACAAGTGACAATTAAATTACATGTACTTTGACGTTAATACAAATACAGTATTTGCAACAAAATCTTTCAAAGTAAACTGAGATTTCTGGTTATATATTGGAGCAAGATATTCAAACCTCATTAATGTTTTTAACAAAGCATGCACTGATGATGCTGTAAGAAGCAGCGGCTTACCGATGTTATCCTTTTCTTTACAAGAAATAGAATAGCAACAGATTTCTCTGTCTTGAATTGCTGAAAGGTTTCTACAGAAACAAAAATAAAATAAGTAGTGTTAGAACTCTACGAAAACTGACAACAGGAATTTCCATTAAATTACTTTTTTTTTGCTTTTTACTCAGTGGGTTCAATTCTGTTCTCAGGTACTGAATTTGTAAAATATGCTACTGCATACAAAACCACCCACATTTCCTAAAATATAAAGAATCAAATTTCCAAACTATAAAGATTCAAATTTATCATTAAGTCAGTATAACAGTAAATAATAACAGCATAGAAATCCGTAACATGAAAATAACATTTTGTAATGGCAACCAAGTAACATTACCATGTCTTAGCATTCACCTTTCACCCTTTTTACTTAGAATTCAAAATTTTTCTAATAACACTTAGAATCAAGTAACAGTACTCAAATGATCACACCACTAATCTTCAGAAGGTTTATTATATCACACTTAAATACACCAGATCTGACTCCTACTGAAAGGATACCTCTACATTCAGGAAGAAACTGATTCTTCTGTTTCTTTCTGAAACTTCTGTTTCTTTCTGGGAATCTCCCCATCCCTCTCAGCATTTCTGAGAACTTTGTTATTTTTTTCATTTTATTTATCCTCACACAGCTGACACAGACATGCAGGAAACAGATGACGTTCCTGGAGCAGATGGGGAGTGGAGGCATTGAGAAGGGAGGCGTCCTGAGCTCACACAAGAGACTCTAATAAAGAACTAAATAGTGACATCCTGGCACTTCAGGAGAACAAACTCAGCCTCTTCAAGGATCTGCTTGGAAGAATTCCAAGGGATAAGGACCTGAAGCAAAGAAGGGCCCCAAAAAGCTTGCTGAAATTCAAGGATCATCTCCAAGCTCAAGAGTAGCCCATCCTAACAAGTCTGGAAAAAAGCCAGGAGGTGTAAGTGGATGAATGATGAGTTCTTCGCAAAACCCAGTCACAAAAAGAAGCATAGAGCAGGTGGAAGCAGGGACAGATAACCTAGCAGGAACATAGAAACACTGTCCAAGCATTCAGAGACAGTTAGGACAGCCAAAGCCCCACCAAGCCCAAACAAAGGCAACAAAGGCTTCTGTAGGTATGTGAGGGACAAATAGAAGATGAGAAAATGTGGGCCCATTACTCAGCGAGAGAAGGGACCTGGTTACACAGGATATGAAAAAGGCAGAAGTACTGAATGCCACCTTTCCTAGCAAGATTAACCTGCAGGAACCCAAGGCCCCAGAGAGCAAGGGGAAATTCTGGAGCAAGTAAGCAGTAACCTTGATGGAAGAGGATGAGATCAGGGCATACATAAGCAAAGTGGACAGAGAGAAGTCCACGGGCCCTAGTGGGATGCACCTATGAGTGATCAGTGAGCTGGCTGACGTCATTGTGAGGCCACTCTCAATAATCCTTCAACAATCATGACAACTGGGAGAAGTGCCTGAATCTGGGAAGAAAGCAAACGTCACTCTTATCTTTAGAAAGATCATGAAGTAGGACCCAGGGAATTACATGGCAATCAGTCACAATTTGATTCCTGGGAAGGTGATGGAGCAACTAATCCTGGAAATCATTTCCAGGCATGTGATGGACAAGAAGGTGATCAGGAGTAGTCAGCATAGATTCACAAAGCAGAAATCATGCTTGACCAACTCGACCAACCTTCTACAATGAAATCTACAGCTGGGTAGATGAGAGAAGAGCAGTGGATATTGTGTACCTTGACTTCAGTAAGGCTTTTGATGCTGACTCCCATAATACAGAGAAGCTGAGGATGAGCAGATGGTGAGGTAGACTGAAAACTGGTTGAACAGTCAGGTCCAGAGGGTGGCAATCAGTGGCCTGAAGACTGGTTGGGGGTCAGTTAATAGCAGTGAGCCCCAGGGATCAATATTGCATCCAATCCTATTCAACACCTTAATTCGAGATCTGGATGATGGGGCAGAGGGTACCCTCAGCAAGTCTGCTGACAATATAAAACTGGGAGGTGTGACTGATAGAGCAGAGAGTTATGGTGCCATCCAGAGGGACCTCCACAGGCTGAAGAAATGGGCTGACAGAAGTCTCATGCAGTTCAACACAGGGAAATGAAAAGTCCTGCGCTTGGGGAGGAAGAACCCCAGGCACCAGTACCTGCCAGAGGCCAACAGCCTAGGAAAGCAGCTTTGCAGAAAAAGACTCGGGGGTCCTGGTGAACACTAAATTAAACATGATCTAGCAGTGTGGGAAAAAAAAAAACAGAAGCTAATAGTATCCTGGGCTGCATTAGGAGAAGTGTTGTCAGCAGGCTGAGGGAGGTGATCCTTCCCCTCTACTCAGCACTGGCAAGGCAATACCTAAAGGCCTGTGTCCTGTTTTGGGCTTCTCAGTACAACAGGGATTGTGAAGCTACTGGAGAAAGTGCAGGGAAGGGCCCCTAAAATCATTAAGGGACTGGAGCGTCTCACATATTATGAAAAGCTGAGAGAGCTGGGACTGTTTAGCCTAGAGAAAGGAAGGCTCAGGGGGCATGTCATTAATACGTACAAGTATCTGAAGGGAGGCTGTAAAGAAAATGGAGCCCAGTGACAGGACAAGAGGCAATGAGCACAGACTGAAACACACTCTGCACATAAACACTTTTTACCTCTGAGGGTGACCAAGCACTAGCACAGGTTGCCAAGAGAGCTTGCAAAGTCTCCATCCTTGGAGATATTCAAAAGCCGCCTGGACACGGTCCAGAGCAATCAGCTCTAGGTGGCTCTGCTTGAGCAGGTGGGTGGACAAGATGACCTCCAGAGGTTCCTTCCAACCTCAGTCGTTCTGTGTTTCCTAAGACACTGTTTAGTTGCTTGGCCTTTGGACCATCCTTCTATACTGAAACATCACCTTGTTTCCTACTGATTGAAATTGTGAGATATGAGACACAGAATCCTACACTGCAAAATTAGTCTTATGTTGGCCATTTTTTACACAATTGTGTATTTTCTTTGCAATTGCCCTTGCAATACATTTAGTTAAGTTGGTTTCAATAATCCATAAGTATACGCTTTGGATACACGCCAGAAGCATCTGAATTGCTTAAATTTACAGACAGTAGTTTGAAATAGTTCTGCTCTAATGTCATTTGAGCATTAAACTGCCACTATAATGTACTCGGAAAAGTGGAAGTAAGTAAGCCTATTACTATCTATAGCAGTTGTATCTTCAGTGATGGGAAAACAGGATTATCTGAAACAACTTTATACAACTGAAATAATAATCAAGAGGTTCAACTCTACTGCAGTCAGTTACCAGCCTAGATTGCTACCTCAGCTCCCAGCAGAGTTCAGAGCGGAGTATCTGGAGAACGCAAAATGGAATCTGTTGTAGGTGGTTATTGCCATAGACTACCAATGATTTTCTCTTACACATCAAATTTCACAGTGTCTCAGCTTTTTACACAGGCCAGCTACTTACAGTTTCTCAATTAACTGTTTTTCATCCAGTGCACCTGGAAGGTCTCTTTTATTTCCAAGGACTAACACCTGAAAGAAATCATTTACATTTATGTTAAATCCAGGAGCAATAAAAGTTTGTTTTTATCTTTAACCATTTGTTGGCACTATTTTTGATCTTCCAGCTAAGCATTTAGAATGCCAAGAGCTGACCTATTCAAAATGAGCCGTGACTGTAGGAGCACCATGGAAACCCAGCTCCTAGTCAGAGTCAGATACTGTATGCACTCCCTCTGAATGCTGGATCCAATTATTTCTGGGTGTATTAGTATCAGAATTCTCCTCTGGAAGAAAATCTCTCCATTCTGGACGGCAGATTGCATGCAGCTAAACCTGGAAGAGCGCATGCACCACGTGCACTCAAGCCACCAATGGACATTCAGTTCACGGGACCAGACTCATGTTAATCAAAAGTAGGGCCCCAGCATGTTTCTCTCTACAGTTTTGCTCCCCTGCTTCTTAATGCTGACATATTGACCAGCCAGGCATCCAAATCACGTACGACCCAAGCACCTGCAAATGACTGATTCCTCTTCCTCTACTGCAGGCCTCCATGGTAGAAATCAGAAAGGCAACTATTAGGAATTAAGTCTGAGAAATGCAGAAACTCTGCTGAATAGATGCTGGAACTTGGAGTTCCTATGCAATACTTAAGTATAATTTTATGTCAAGTAATTTAATGTCAGATAAATAGGTTGAGCACATTCTAAGATAAAGTAAGCAATGGAAGGTTTTTCTTATTATAATTGCACTATTGTTTTCCAGATGCGTTACAATTCTGAGTCAGGACTGTCTAACTACTTCCCATGAACCTGGAACATATCAAAACACATCACTTGCAGTCTCAGATTAATAAAGCTATCTTAAAATCTATAATGCCAAAGCCTGAGTGCAATAAATTGAAGAAAGTTCAATACTAGTTACTACCTATGAAATAAAAGTAAGTAAAAAACACATTACTGGAGCCTGGAAATTACCGTGCTGGTCAGGCTGGGCAATTGGAATGTGATATTATAACACATAAAAGGAAAGGAACTTAATTAAATATTTCTGAAGACATGAGAGACCTATCATTTCAGGAAGGAAAAGTAAGAAGTAAAATAGGATGTGAAAACAGTTCAAAGAATAGACAATATCACTCTCCATTAATAGCTTGACTGTAGATTTATGTAGGATTTATTCAATATGTACTTAATATTAAAAAAGCACAACAATAATGGCAAAAATTAAAGCAAGAGGGAGAGTCCCTTGAAAAATTCGCCTTTGAGAACAGATGTGTGAGATCTTCATTCTCACAATGACTTCACGTTGGCTGTGGGTCTACTCATTCTCGAATGAATTTGATCACTTGCACTGGCCAAGTGTCCAAATATTTGCTTACAAAAAAGGGGGTAAGCAAGAGCCATCAATTCTTCCTTATGATCAAAGGTATGAGCTCTCGCCTGGTGATGTCAGCATCAAAGATCAACACTAATCTGACTGATACCTACCAGCTCTAAATTGGCAGATTACATTTAATTAAACAACTCTACTCTCTACCTCCGTAATTCCTCACTAGAATTTCAGCAGAATATACTGTTCTTTGACACCTACCGGAGAACAGATGCATATTTGCATTTTTCCATACTGTTCAGTTTGGAAAACTAAAAAGTCAAGAAAAAGTCTGGACATGTAAAAATTCAAGCTCCTCCACAATCTCTGGAAGCAGAAGACACTATCCGATGTCAGTATCTGCCAATCTTCAGGAAGACAAATCTCATATGCCTTAAGATACTGCCAGAAACATACCTGGGTCACTGGTTCAAACCCAGCCAACAAGGGGACTGACTGGAAGCAATTACTGCCTGACAAGCCATGTAAAAATGATTTTTTTTCCCCAAATCTATTCTGACCTTTAGACTAGAAAATGTACAAACACCGCAGCACTGAGAAGATACTGAGTCCTCTGAAAAAAATTTGACATTAATTTTTTTAAGAGCGCTCAATGTACCACATTTAGATCCAGTATTTTCAAGAGTCCTAGGCCACTGTCTACATTCAGGTAAGAATAATAATCAAAATACTTACGGGAATTCCATGCAATTGTGGCTTATCTATCAAACTGTGTAACTCATTCTTTGAAGCTTCTACTTTTTCTAAGTCTGCTGCATCCACCATATAACTGCAATGGGAATATAGTTATTTATGGTATTGTCTATTACTTGCAGAAATTTGCATTAAAACATTTGAAACATGAGAAATGTGTTTGCATTGACAACAGCATCAAAACAGTACTGAATTGTATAAGGCTGCATTTATTAACAGAGGAAGATACGAATTCAGTACAGGCTGTGAGGAAAAAGTGGTCTGGAATATGCAGTTACTTATAGCTGGGTTGCCGGAACACAGTACTTTTACAGTGTTGGGTCTTCTTATGTGACGTAGATGGACCCGAAGAAAAGTATATTTATATTACCATAGAACCATAGAATCACAGAACAATTCAGGTTGGAAAAGACCCTTGGGATCATCGAGTCCAACCATGGGTCTTTCCACCTGAATTGTTAATAATATGCATTTTAAAATATATTTTTCTATGGGTATACACAAGAAAACTTACACAACTGCATTGACTCCTCGGCAGTAACGCTCCCACATGCTTCGAAATCTTGGCTGTCCTCCAATGTCCCATACCTGGAAATGGGAAGAACATCCCAACCTCAAAACATTTTTGAACTATAGCGTACTAACAGAACACAACAAAAGAACTTTTGAATGGAGTATGCAGGTTGTACTGACAATGCCTAAAGGTAGTCACTTTTTTAAGCGACCTTCCTCAAAAGACTGGTCTTCTCATCCCCTTCCAGTCAATGGCAGGGACCAGGCATGTTTGCAGGGGAAGTCAGTCAGTCCTGTGACCTTAGTGGCTCCAAATGTCCATTTGGAGAACTGCACCATCCACTGCAAGAAAAGTCTTATTCAGATACCAATTCTGCAAATATAGTCTAAAACCCAGAAAAAATAGCACAGTTGTATAAAGTTGCATTTTCTATGGGGCCAGGAAGACCTGAGTTAAGAATGCATCCAGCTTTCAGAAGGACAGACAGATATTAAGTAAATAAAGAGCTGGTCAGAGAGCAAATTGAGTCCACATAAAGGATGATATACTCTAGTGAGCTCCAGTACTTCCACAGCTCTCCCATTTGTTCATCAAAAGTGCTTTAAAAGATGCATGGATTAACTGATCAGAACCAGAATGGAAAGAGTAGTGTAGGGTAGGCTTGAAGTGATTAATCAGTGAATCTTAAGGAAAGGAAGCTCAAATTCTGCTTGGGATTTTATAAAGCTCCAATCCTGCAAATACTTATGCATGCTCTTAGTGTCCGACAATATCACTGAAGTCCTTATCGTTAAAAGGCTAGTACATTATTTTTTCTGTACAGGAGTTATTTACTCCTCTTTGCTGAAAAAAAATCAGTATTTTTGGTGGATTACAATAATCTTGTTTCAAAACTTTCCAAGATGAAAATAGTAGGGAAAAAATACAGGCGTGACGATGTAGCTGTTGCAGCTACATCCAGACAGCTGTGTTAAAAGTGACACACTACAGTAGTGATGAACACTGAAAAATGAAAGGATTTGTTCCTACGTCAAAGAGAAGTAATTATTTCTTATTTTAATCAGAGTGAGCTATCAAAACAATACTAGATCTGAGAGGCATATCCATTACAGCACAGATTAGATTTGTAAGTAACATACACTGAAGTAAATTTCTCATATTTATAAATCCAACCATATTAAACACATTGTAGCAACAAAGACTTGCAGCAAAGAGCAAGACTTAATAGACCCTTGGGATAAGGCCTTTTTCAACTAATGTGGACTATAATTTTAATTCCACAATTCATAAATCATATTTATGTATCAATTTCCCTATCATTTTCAACACCTTATATTCATATTTTAAAAACAGTTCCCAATTCACCACTAAAAACATTCCCTGATTGGTATCTTACTGTTCCTTCTGGCATAAAAATAATGTATCACCTAAATGCAGATTGCCTTTGATCTCCTTTATAAGACCAAGAATTTTACACATTAAAGAGAGCTGAGTGAACTTTTGACCGTGAACTGGGTATCAATTACTACCTGCACTGACATTTGAAGCGTTGTTTCAAAAGTCTTAATAAAATAAACCTTTTATTTTAAAAGCTTGAAAGAGATGAGCACACAGTTCAGTATTACAGTTAGATGACAAACCTCACACCAACACTAATTATTCCAATAACTCATCAGGACCTTGAAACTATCAGTAACCATCTGGTGCACATCTGTGTGTCTGGAAAAAGAAACCGAATTATTTTCTTGGTAGATCAGAGAAAAAAGAAAGGGAAAAGGAAGGCCAGTAGTAAGATTAGATTTTTGGAGACTGACGGAGATTATTCCTGGTAGCCAGAAAAATCTACAAGATGATGTAGCCTGGACTAATCACAAAATAAGTAACACAAGATAGAAGAAAGACTAGGTTTGTCCCTGTTTGCTGAAATAATGTATCTGTATTATATTAAATTGCACTGAAGAACAGGTATTATTCTCATTGGGAGAAAGAGTCATCTTGAAACAACGTAAAGATAAATATTTTCCAGTCAGTTTTTCTCATAAGATATTCAGCTATTCATTAAACTACAACACGAAGTCCACAAGATAGACTGTGTTTTTAATAGTGCTTGGGAACCCATTTTATATCAATATATCAAGTTATAATTATCTGAAACAGGTAAAGAAAATAAACGCATTAAATAAAAAAAAATCCCCACCTCTTTGCCTCTGAAATTAAAATGGTGCTAGTAGCTACTTTCTAACACTCATTATTATACTGAATAGCCAAGACAGAGTTAACTACCTCATTAAAAAAAAAATCTGTCCCAAACCATCTCCACTGTAAATGACTGAACAGACAGAACTGTGAGAATGTAAGAGGCACCCAAGAATGAAAGGGGGGAAGTTTTAGCAGTAAAGAAGTTTTCTTGCCTTGCATGTTTTGTACATCACCTGGTTTTGTATCCTAGTGTATTTATTTAGTACACAGGTTAAAAGTACATTCTGAGTGAGAACCAGCAGAGGCAGGAGACTGCACCGTAACGGCAAACATACAGCTAGCCATAAAAAGCTTCGTTTGTCTGGGTGTTTTTAAAGAGAATGGGCCTCACATTGTTCCCATGGCTTTCGCTGGACCCTCAGAAACAAATTTTTTGTCATATTTAATAGGCAATTTTATCTCCAGAAGACCAGCTGATCTTAAGAACCAGAAAGTGCACACAGATGACCAAACCAAACAGAGAAGAAGTTTCTTCAATGTCCAGTACCACTGCCTCAAATTAAAATCTAAGTTGTTGTTTAGGCTCAATCTCTAAGGCATGGATCTTATTCTTAGTCCATTTTATAGATCACTATTTTATTTGTTCCTGTCTCATCCTGTAGAGTAGTAATTCTTATTGTGCTTGCAGGTCTACACCCTCATAAAAAAATTCAATGTTTTAATTTGTAAACTACATTAACCACTATAGTTCAGAATAATCACTCATTATACCTTAAATCAAATTCTTCTAAAAGAGGTATCTCTTTGGATATATCTTTTGTTCAATTTCCATACTCCATGTGGCTCTAAGGCTCCTCAGGACTGCAGCTATCAGCTACGTTAAAGGAGCAAATCTTTTTCTTTTGCACAGAGGTATCATGACGAGCAAAAACGTAGCTGCGGAATAAGTTCAAAGGTTTCTGAAAGCTTTCTGTTACAGGAAGGCTTCTTAACACTCTAGCTGCATTTCTATTAATTAGCTTATATAGTGGGAGGGCTTGACAGTAAATTAGAGAGCTGCAGGAAGGTAAAAGCAGTATTTTCTAGATGTCAGTTTTACATTGCTTTATTTTTCAGACATACCAGGTAGGATACTCCTTGTGGGCAGAGATGTGTACAACGACAGATTTGTATCGCGATGTCAATGTATGGGTTCAGTACCCAGGATCTCACTGTAGTCAGTGACTCCTTGACAGCTATTCAGCTGACCAGACGTAATGTCTTCTTCAGGATGACAGAATTATGCTCTAGGCTTGATGGTACCGACTAGAGCTCCTCTGACTCTAAAGAAGCCTAACCCTCACTGCACACATATAGCTGTTTACACTCAGGCATCTTAATTTGCAAGCTGAATCCAACACTACCAATATCTAGACTCAGAAATACATCTTTCTGGTTGGAAGTATTCACCAAATACCAGCTACAAAACCTAACCTTGGAACAAAGAAGTGAGGAAATTCTAAACACAGCAACGTCCAACATCACATTGTACAAAGACAGGCCCATGTACACCGAGATGTAACTAACGGGCTTCATGCAAATACAGCAAGCATGGTCATTGTATTCATCGTCAAATCAATGTCTTAAGACAGGGAGGAACTGGAAAGCACGGGATTTATTTCCCTCAACTCCACCACCTAAAATGTAGGCATCTTAATCCAAGTGACTAAAATCTCTCTGTGGCTACTGAAGAGTTGAAAGGGCACTCACAATGGGAAATAATTCCCTATGCCTTACCCACCTTGCCTACCAGGTGAAACTTTCTTGCAAAGCACTCATTGCTCTCCACCAAATTTAGAGAACTGGCTGAGGTTGGTCTCCCTCCTTTTCACCTGGATAAGCTCAAGGGAGACAAATCCTAAATAGTCACCTATTCTAGACTGGAGTCTTCAACCAATAATGTTTAGCTTCCCCATCTAATAAACAGGAAAAATAAAAAGAGCTAAATCAACCAAGCTTATTTTTTTTAGTAAATTGCCCTGTGGATATAAAACTTGTAGTACCGACCATATACTCCATTATGAAAGCTACAATACCTTACTACCTTGGAATATTTATTACTTACCTATCATCCTATATTCTGGAAATGCCTTTACAGTTGCTCTTAAAGCCAAAAAAATATGCCACACATGGCTACATTTTCTGCAGGCTACATTTTCTTCCCAGAACACTACATTCCTTGAAATCAGTTTTGTTCCTTGGCAGAACCCTGTTGTCACTCCTCACTGGCAATGAAGTCCAACTTTTAAACAGTTTTTGCAACTAGGTATTTTATTTTAGTCAGGTCAGACAGAAAAATGACTATATGCACACTTCACAGTTTGTAATTACTTAATTTAATCATAGCACTTTCACAGAAGAACTGGAAATCAACTTCGACTTGCAACACAAACTGGCTGAGTATCTTCAACTCCTGAAAACAAGTGCGGGGGCATTTAAACACGAGCAGTTACTTCTCAATGACCGGAGTGTATCTGCCATTTTACCAGACACAAGGTACAAGGTTGGAAGGATCAACAGGTGTATTTTAAACAGGACACAAAAATAAAGTCTGTTCTCAGAAGCTGTTTTTTGAACCTTGTGCTGCTTACCTCCACGTTATGTTCTAGGCAGAGGAGTATCAGGGAACTCAACTATAGAAATAAGACTTTAATCCTCTCAATTAAGATGTTAGCACACCTCTAAATAGAAGGGGTAAATACATCCTAGCCTCAATATTGTGTCCTCCCCAAAAGTAGGAAGCCCCCATTCTGCAAGTACACATGCAAACCTTTGCACTCCCTTTTCACATGATCACGAATAAGTCTCTCAACATAAAACTCCAAGAGATTCTAGT